GCCGACTAATTTCAATCCCATTTCCAGATTTGGCGACTAAACGATTATGCTACAACTTAGTTCGATTAACTATAAAAAGGTGTTTTCTTAGTTTTTTTTAACTATAATTTTATTGTTCGTTATATTAATTCATTCATTTTCACATTCTTAGAAATTAGGCCATCTCAGGGGGGATTCGAATCCACGACTTTTGGATTAGAAGTCCAATGCGCTATCCATTGCGCTACAGGGACACAAGGAGCGATTTTCCTTTTTATATATGGCGTTGGACTATTATTTTTGTGTTTGTTACTTTTTATTCGTTAATTAAATTTAACTAATGAATTAATATTTCAAAAGCTGTATTTACATCAAGTGTCATACTCTACAAGTTTTAAAAAATGTATTTGAACTTGAATGGATAAATAGAAAGTATTTTGTTAACGACTGAAATTTGAACAAGATATATATAGAAAGAGAAAGATTGTGAACTAATAGTAGGAATTGAAAAACAGAGAAAACAATAAAATTAGCATGTTTACTTATCATTTAAGCAGCCTGTGAAGTTTTAGTTACTATTTCGAAGTTAACATAGTTTTAATCCATGTTTTGATCAATATTTTAAAAATTATTTGCTAGATTTGTACAAAATGGATGGTCATCATGAAATGACATCTTGTGACGGGATTAAGCGTCTTTTCTTTAACATAACCTCTGGGTTCTTTAGGGGCCAAGATTAATGGCAACTCTTTTCCAACCAAAACCCAAGAAGCGAAATGTGAAAAAGAAATGCAAATAAGATAGCTTTTAAATAACGGAAGTTTCAGTAAGTGAAATGGCAATTTTGGGGAATGGTATGTGTGAAAGAGAGAAAGGTGAATTGACAGCCAATCGTGAAGTTACCTGGAAAGCAAGCCATTAAAACAAGGTGCATACCATTGCACGCGCGCCCGGACGTTTCCTTTTAAAGATTGAATCTAAATTTGAATTAAGGTAGGAAGGATTATTTGATATTAGGACTTTTGAAATATTATTAGAAGTGAGAGTAGGCAAATTAAATAATTATAGTTGTCTAAGTTACGCGATTCGGTTTAAGCATTACTGTGTGTTTGTTCATTATAGATTTTCGCTTAATCAACGTTATCTAAATTGTTAGACATTTAAGTTCTATTCTTAATAAAGTCATATTAAGAATCAAAAATGTCTATTCCTTTTGCAAACCCTACACCTCTAGCTCACGCTGACAATCAAAGATACGGTCACCAAAGGGGGGCGGTATCACAACTTTATTCGTAATTCGAAGAAATTGCTCAGTAATAATGAAAGCATTTTGTAAACTTAAATTAATTTCAACTAAACGTGACGAATATAAAGATATAATTACTATACTAGAGAGATATGATCTTATGAAATACTTGTGACCATTTCTTTCTTGGTTTTATGAAATCATAGACCCTATTTCTATAAACATACAGCATGAAAAAAATGACCTACGAAAGGCTGTTATTCTGTTGAGTAATCTCCTGAGTAGACTAAAACTAATACGAAATCAAAATTCATTCAGCTATTTGATAAACGAGTGCGGAGATCTTGCAAATGAATGAGTGTAATGCCATGCTTTCAGAAATGAAAAAGAATGAGTGTA